AGTATGCATGCTGCCCAAAAAGGCAAATGTGTACCTTAACACTGTCTAGAAAGAGGTTCTCCTCACTCTGCAGTTCCACATTCTGCTCTGATTTCTCAAAACACTTGCCACTGGCCAAAATTATTTTATTTTTCTGTTTACTTGCTTATTTTCTCTTCTTCTCCATAGTATTTCAAACTCCATGAGAACAAGGACCTTGTCTGTTTCTCCACCACTGTACGCCAGAGCCCATTTGGCTGTGTGCTCAATAAAAATTTATCAAATAACCACAACTACCCAGGTAATTTACTTTAAGGTCACCAAGTATACATAAGATCAAGTCAGTACCAATAAATCAGCAAGTTCAATATAATAGCAAATACAAAATAAATTATCACCGTTTCTGGATAAGAGCGATCTTTAAAAACCTACCAGCTTTGAGGCCAAAAGGTTTGGTAAAGTTTGATGGTTCAGAAGTCACGTAATTATTCCATGTATTTAATGTATTTATACATTTATTTAGAAATGTATAAATGTAAATGTTTATACATATATTTATAAATAATGTATTATTTCCATGTATTTAATGGAGAAATTTTATGAAAGACAAACACTACAGTAAAAACCCATGTGACCCAAGGAGAAAAACCACTGTGGTGGATGACCCGAAACCATAGAGAAGAAACCTGGCTCTACTCCAGGTTAGGTACACCCCACCCCTGCTTTCTGGGAGTTTCTTACCTGAAAATTATTACCTCAGGGAGATGCACTTCTGAAGCAAGATTAGAACTTTCACATCTCGCTAAGTATGTATGTTTTCCCCTAAAACTTCTTAAAGTACTTCATGACTATTCAAGGGCTATTGAGTTGTTAGGCTACCTGAATTTGAGGAGAGAAATGTCCAAACTTACAACTTCAAAAAATGAGGGAGTTCCAGAACAAAGGAAACGTTTTCCAAACAAAACAGAGTACCAACTTCTAATTCAACATATGAGTACCAACTTTTTTTTTTAAGTGATATAATTGTATTACACATCTAAAGTAATTTCCTCACTTCTGTCTGCAAAAGCTCTAAAAACTTTTCAGAGAGATGGTATGCAAATCAACGTGATTTGAACCCAGTATCACAATAAAATCTGGCTCTTAAGACTAGAAAAGTTCCAAATCTATGGAAATTACCCAACACAAAAATTTACCAACTTTCAAGTGAGTGTCATTTAAGCAGTAGCTGAGGGTCAAAATGCAGCACTATGATCAAAGAGGCACGAATCAGCTCCCCCTGCTGCAGCAGTACCTTGGCAATCTTTATTTCCAACAAAGACATTATTGGATTCAGAGAAGTAGCAAGACCAAAGCAAAGTACATTGAATCTACCACTGAGTCTAGGAAGTTACTCTGCTCAACACTCAAGAACTTCCACTTAACAAAATGGTTAAGTAAAGTTGTTAATATGCAAGGGTTTTTCATTCTAAAAGCTGATGGCATCATCTTTCATGAGACTGGCAAGCCCTACTTTATCTATCTCCTATTATCACCTAGGAAAGGGATAGAGTTTCCTCCCCACCCACAGCCACCTTCAATATACACTCCTTTATTTCCTATATTGAAAGGCTTAGGGTAGAGTTCTCTCAGCATGGTGAGGAGGCAACCTTCCCGGGAGCAGGTGACCCTTCCATGCTTTTAAGCTGTATCACAGAACAAACAGGAGAAAACCATAGGATGTGATGGAAATCTTCCCAAACTGATTTGTGGTGATGGTTGCACAAATCTTTAAAATAACTGAAATTCAATGAATCGTGCACTTACTATTAGTGAATTCTACAGTATGTAAACCATACCTCAATAAAACTATAAAATAATCACCAGCAAGGAGCAGAGTGCGATGATATAATTAGAAAAAGGAATGTATCTAAGACCCAAAGAGACCCTCCATATAACTGACACATCCAATACAGACCCTTGTTTCCCCCTGAACCTCCAAGTATCCTATTAAGTATATCCTCCTCCTTCCTTTCACATGTTCCTTTGGAACATCTGACCTCCTTCCATTCTGCTCTGTGCTGCTCCAGTAAGAAAAAAGACCTTATGAACCACTTCCATGAATCTACCTGGAGAATTCAACATATAAAGTACACATGGCAATAACAATGAAAAGTTGGCAGGTGAGCTTATAGAAATCAATTCCCTTTTCAGAAGAAATGGGAAGGAGGAGGAGGCATCCTAATTGATTCCCCAAGCCAGACTGCTCCAATCTCCCACACAGCACTTTATTTATACCTCTCTCAGAGCCTTTAAAACTTGGATTCTGCTCATCTTTGTGCATTTCTAACCAACCCCCCCACCCTCACCAATGTCTTGACCAGTATCTTTCACATCCTAGGAATTTAATAAATGCTCTTTGGGTAAGAGTTATTATTCTCCTCATTAAATTAAGTGACACCAATTCTATCCTCAAAGGGTAAATACAGTTCTGTGTCCTGCTGGACCTACTACTAATTAAACTTTGACTTCCTTCGTTGACTTGGTAGATTATGGCAATAAAGACAAAAATGATGAACAAACTCCAAAATGACCACTGGCTAGGCCAGCAGCTAGGCTGTTGTTATAATATGAATAAGAAACACCAGCTCAGAGCAATAAAACCCAATTTCTACACCAGCCAGCAGGTTAACAAAGCCCTTTTATTATTTTTAAAAGTTATTCTAAAATCACAAATTTTTGCCTATTACTCAGCATCCAAACCCAGCAAGTTTTCTACTGTCATCAATACCAGATCTGATTAAAACTATGCAAGACAAAAAGTATTAAATATTTGAAGTACCAAAAAAATTACAAGAAAAAGACCCAGGAAAATCACAGAGCAGTAACTAGTATGGCAGGGAAATTAACCAACAGTTTCTACACTTCATAACGCCTGGATGAAGACCTGTTGAAAGTCGCCTTCCCACATGAAACCCATTTCTAGCCTAAGAAAGCCAAAATGTTGTCTGCTTTCCAATTAAAGATGGCTTCAAGAATAGATCTCAAACACCAAAACACTGACAATAACCAAGATGAAACAAAAAGGCCACGTAAAGGTATCGCAACTTTTAATAAGAGTGTTAAGTCCTCAGATCTTGGAAATCTGTGTTCAAATCCTACTCAACCAGAGACCTCAAAAAATTACACGAAAACCCTTAAAGATAAGAGATAAGTATCCTGGTTCCTGAGATATTTCGTCTTTAGTAATTTAATATATCTGCTAAAAAACTGAATTTCACTGTCATCATCTGTAACTCTGAAAAAACTTTAAACATCTCTATTGCTTTTAAAATCAAAACCTCCCACATGCTTCCAAAAAGTTGATAAGTCAGATTTTTTTAAAAAACATGTAGAAACTGAAATGCATTTCATTATAAGATAATTATTCCCAGCAATACATCAGATGTAAACTTGAATTTGGTTTTGCTCTTCACCAGTTAAGTTCTCAAGTTCTTAGGAGTTTCCTAGTCATTTACTTGAACATCATCTACGGTAACACTCAAAGCAAAACCACAATAAAGAGATTTGGCCTCTGAGGGATTCTACGTGTAAAAAAACATTACTCATAAATAAAATACAATCACTATTGCTTTAAATAACAAATACATTTCTAAACTTTCATGCCATTTGATGGAATTCCCTGTTTCAGAGAGCAAAACAAAATCTATTAAGCTCCCAATAAGTGCTTTTTATTTTAACTAAATTTGTTCTATCATAATACAAAAAGTGACATGAATTTGCTGTAAAAACTTCTGGAGAAATATTGTTAGTTCTTGAGTACTTTCATTCAAAACACTCTTTACTGAAAGAGTTAGTGGAAGTCACAGAACTGCTCCACCAGTAATTGGACCAAATCATCCCAGAATTATATTCTTTAGGTTACCCAATATCCTAGGTAATCCCAAGTATAAATAAAGCAATGAAACCCTGGCAGGATACGTTTAGTCAAAGAATAACATCCAGTGAGAACTATGGAGTACTGCAACACAATCATATTGGAACACCACCAACTCAAAAACAAGTACCTGATGAAATGAGACTTCTGGCAATCACCTTATATCTTCAAGGATCCTCTAGGCACTCACTCCTCCCCAGCTTTCACACCCATATACCCCAATGCCTTCCTATGAAATGACATCAAGAGTACCTTCACTTCAAACTCCAACATTAAGGACACACACTGCAGATTCAATTTAAAAGATGACCAGAAGGCTACAGAATCATCTTTGACATTTTATCCAAATATATCTAAACATTAAACGTGTAGTTCAACTCGTTTTGATACCAGATGCGATTTACTACTCTCACCAAAATGAAAAGGAATTCTTTCAACATTCTTTTCATTGTAATAAGACTTTAAACACAGAAAAACTTCAATAGTCTATTCATTTCACCATTTTGCAGAATCGTCCTCCAACATCCCTCTGCATAAGATAATCAGAAAAAAAAAAAAAGAGTTCAGCTTTCCAAAAAAATGCACTTGCTTTATCAAACCCCAACATTTATTTTCAAGCACAAGAAAGTAACAGACATTTGCAGCTCAAGACAGGAAAAGCACAACAACCAGCATAACTGTACATCCACCACTAAATCGCTCAGAGAAGAAAAAATTCAGGGCAGGCAAATTAAAAACATTCTACACATGGTGAAAATAAAAGGTCTAAACTCCTACAATCCATAGCAAAAGCACTGCTTCCTCTCTTTTTGAGCCAATACCAATAAGCCAATGGATACAAGTGTCAAATAAATCCAGCCTGTTAGAAATAAGACGAAAACCCGGAAAAATTCCCTCCTATAAATCACTCAATGAATAGGACCGCTTTGCACACAACACAAAATACACACAACCAAAACCACACATCAACCAACCACCCCCAAATGCAAAAAAGCCATAATCAACAAGTTGGAAAGAGGGCATAAAGTATAGCTCTCCACCCTCTCTCCCCGACCTTAAAAAAACAAAAGTCCTTCAACAAAAGCTAACACAGATCTTCAAGTACCTGGTGGAGGTGCCTTTCCTCACATCGCAGATGCTGCATTTAAAGGCTTCAGCGCTGTTTCTGAAGGTGCAGACGCTACAATCCCAAAAGCCTTCGTCTGCCGCAGGTTTCGCTTGTCTTTTTGGCCTTCGGAGGAGTGAGGAGTGGGGGAAAGGGGAGGGAAGAGACAGGGAGCAGGAAAAAGGGGGAGAAACAGCAAAACACAGGCGCTGGTGAGCCCTCGCAATTTCGCAGGAATCCAGTGCTGGAAACTTCGCTCGGGCGACCACCCACCCACCCTTTCCGGGGACCGAACAGGGACTGGGGAGGGCACGGGGCGCCCCCACCGGCACCCTGAAACCTCCGAGCCAGGACCGTGCTGCCTCGCACAGCAGGCGGCGGCGGCGCCCCGGGAAAGGCCGCGGCGGGCGCAGGAAGCGGGCGGACTTGTGGACTTGAGCGTGGGGCTGGGGGGGCCGGCAGGGGAGCCGCGGGCCGGATCTGGAGGGGGCGCGCAGGGGCAGCCCGAGGCCGGCGGCGGGGAGTGGGCCGGCTCCTTCCCTCTCCCCTCCCATGCTCGCGCCCTCCCTCCCTCCCCACCTGGTTAAATCTCCCTTTGTCTGGGAGGAGTGGCGGCGGCGGCGGCGGCGGCGGCGGAGGGCGGCTGAGGAGGAGCCGCCATGGCTGCGGCGCGCACGGCCGCCGGCCCCGAGCGGGAGCGACACCGCCTCCCGCCGCCGCCGCCGCCACCGCCCGCCGCCGCCGCCGCCGCCTCCCCCCGCCCCCGGATCTCCATCTTAGCAGCGCCTCCCCCCGCCCCGGGTGGCTCCGGGGCCTAGTCGTCGCCGGCCCCCGCCCGCCCCCAGCCCTCCCTCCCCTTCCGCCCCCTCAGCTCCGAGCAGGTACCTGGTCGGGCTCTTCTTGTCGCCCATGGTCATGGATGGGCTGTACCCCCGCCCCCCCCAAAGCCGAAACCGGCGCCGCTCGGAGGAGAAACGCCGTCCGGGGAGTCGTCGCGGACCGGCCCCCCTCCCTCCCCCGCGCCCGCCCGCCCGCCCTCAGCCGCTGGGGCTCGAGCTCCGGCCGCCGCCGCCGCCGCTGCTGCCAGTCTCCGGACGAGACTAGTCCCCGCCAGCGCCGCCTCCGCCGAGTGACTGACGAGGGGCGGGGCCGGGCGCCGCGCGTCACGGGCCGTGTAGCCAATGGGAGAACGGCGGCCGGCGCCGCGAGGGCGGGGGCGGGGCGCGGGGGAGGGCGTGGCGTCGCGGACGTGGGCCGGGCTGTCGATGTGCGTGCCCGGGAGTGTGTGCGCGCTGGGGGCGCGCGTGCCTGCTGGTGGCCCGGCGGCCCGGCGTGGCGGAGCGTGCAAGCCCGGCGGGGCGCACGTGGCCGCGCCCGGGAAGCGGCGATGGGCTCCGGACCCTGCGCGTCCACCTTAAGGGGCTGTCGCGGAGACTGGCCCCAATCGTCCCCCAGGGAAGTAGTTCCGTGCAGTTTGCGCGTGCTACTGGGGCTTGCAACTGCCGCCGCTTGCTATGCCTCGAGGCTTGTAGTGCCCCGGGAGCCGGCGGGCCTTTCTTTTGGCCCGGGTTCTCGTGCTCCCTTCCGCTCTTCTGCCACGAGGAGCTTTGTATCAGCCTCTCCTAAAGTCCGGGCCTCCTGCCGATACCCCAGTGCTAAGCCCCTTTCCAGGCCCCTGAGGCAGGAGAGAACTGTGCTGAAAGGGTGTGGCACTAATAAAGGCTCCCCGAAGCCGACGCTCAGGGACACCGACTCCCACTTGAGAGCCGCCCCCCACCCCAAGCCTAAATAGGGCGTTTCCCTAGGGAACTTGCTGTTCCAATCCTGGTGGCCACATGCCAGCAGTCTAACCTTGTGCCTCAGCTCCTCATCTGCAAGGTGAGGCTAACAATCCTCCTCCTGGGGTCATTTGGAAAAATTCAGAGATACAATGCACGAAAAGCACGCAAGTGAGTGCCTGGCACTGAGGAAGGACCAATATAAAGTACTGGGTTAAAAACTATTGGAACTGGGTCTGGGTTGAGCACCATTTCCCGCCACTTTGGACGATTCTTGAAGGCGAGGAACGGGCAGTACTCTTTAATTTCTGACCACCTTCAAGAATGCTTGCCAAACTGACTTGAACCTGACTTAGGCCCCTTTGCCCTCAGGGAGTCAGGACCCTAGATGGTTAGCTAAAAGACTTGGCTAGGTGGAAGCTCTGGGTGCGGGTAGGGAATTGGTCAAAGAATGATGCTAGAGGTTGGAAGGTGCGGGTAGGGGTGTGGAGGGAAGATAAGACCCACCCACAGCATCCACTGAGATATGTTTATATGCAAACACAGCCTGGGTTATCAGGACTGCGCGGAATGGAAGGAAACGAAGGAAACGTACCAAGGCACAAGATGAGGGAAGCTCACTGGGACTGAATGCCCAAGGAGCAGGAAGTCCTAGGATCATTCCAGGGAACAGAAAGGAGAGAATAAAAGAGGGAGGGAATGAATGTGTCAACGATAAGCTTGATCAGCACATGCTGTCCTCTCCAGGCAGGCACACCCTGGAGAGCCAGGAGCGAGAGCGTTATTTAGCAAGGGTCAGCAACCTCCTGGGCCTCCTTGGCTTCCCCTCTTGTCTTCTGGGGAAGGGAGGGAGAAAAGGAGGAGGAGGAGGAGGGAGATAGAGGGTTGGGGGGCCAGAGAAAGCCAAGGGGCATGCACACAAGCCATGGCCCAATGCCCCCAGCCTTGGCCCCTCGTGTCTGCCCAGCTTCCTCCCAGGACTGAAGGTACTGAAAGAAAAGGGGCATTAAGAAATCCCTGGAGGAGTGGCCTCTGGATAGGGGAACTGGGTAGCTGGGAGCAACAGATAGTGGAATGGAGACTGACTAAATTATGTACACAGAATAAAATGCACAAATCGGTTTTTAGCTTCATGAATTTTTGTAGATATCTACTACACCTTTGTATCCACCATCCAAATCAAGATACCAAAATTTTCATCCTTCTAGGGAGTAACTCCCCTCCCCACAGGTAACCTCTATTCCAGCTTCTGTCACCAAAGATCAGTTTTGCCTGTTTGAGCGTCATAAGCATGGGTCATAAGGTATGCACTCATGTGTCTGTCAACTTATTATTTGTGATATTCCTCCATCTTGTTGCCTATTATCAATACCTTTTTTTTAAAGATTTTATTTATTTATTTGACAGACAGAGATCACAAGTAAGCAGAGAGGCAGGCAGAGAGAGAGGAAGGGAAGCAGGCTCCCCGCTGAGCAGAGAGCCCGATGCGGGACTCGATCCCAAGACCCTGAGATCATGACCTGAGCCGAAGGCAGCAGCTTAACCCACTGAGCCACCCAGGCGCCCCTTATCAGTACCTTTTTATTTGCTTGCATAAGTATGTGGAATTCCATTGCAAATACATGGTCACGTAGTTATCCCTGAGAGACAAACTTTTTTAGTGCATTTTTAAAATTCTTTGACCTGTTTCACCTGTTCAAAAAAAAGTTTTAAAGAATGTTTTTAAGAAAAAAAAAGTTTCAGAATAGAGAACTAATTTCTAGGAATGTATCAGACCCACACAGCACCATGTGGTTGTAACTGTAGAGGCTCTAATTTCGCTCCGTTGTTGGAGGTAAATATCTACTAAAAGTCTCCTTGTAGGTACAGGAGCCAGACAAGACTACTTCTGGAGCAATGTGCTGTAAAATATCTTGGCTCTAGGCAGAACATCAGACCATCATTCTAGAGTGGTGCTTTGCATCTGAGCTATGTAGGAAACAAATCTTCCTCCATGGCATTGCCTTGAACCACTGTGGGATGTAGGGATGAGTTGGATTTAAGAGACAGCCCCTCCCCTGCTTTTCTTTTTCCTATTTTGAACTTCCATCTCAAGTTTCATTTGAAGGAAGGGTTCTGCTTTAAAATTTATTTGAAATCCATGGTCTTTGGAATAGATTCTGGTTAGAAGCATTCCCCAAGAAGTGTCCGATGTAAATGATTCCACAGATACAGAAGACAGATTAAAAGACCCATTCTGCCTCCCTTCCCATCATTCACTCTACTTCAGTCACACTGGCTTCTTTTGCTGATCTTGGAACATTCATGCTCCCACCTCAGGGCCTTTGCACCTGCTGTTCTGGCTACCTGGAATGCTCTTTCCCTAGATAACCACATTCTTAGCTGCCTCACTTCCTTCATGTCTTTGTTCAAAAGTCACATTCTCAGTGAAGTTTTTCCTGGGGCCCTATCTAAACATACCACACACCAATCCATAACCTGATACCTTAACTACTTCTGTCCCCCTTAACTACTTTACTTTCTCCCCCTTTGACTACTTTACTTTTTTCTCCTTAGCACTTATCACCATCTACATACCATGTAGTTAGTTTACTTATCTTGCTTAGCAGATCTTTGCCCAGGAGAATATAAGTTCCATAACAGCAAAGATTTTTTTCTCTCTCTCTCTCTTTTTTTTTCCTTCCCCCTCTTCTATGTAAGTGCCCTGGAGAGTGCCTTGTAAGCATGCATTGAAGGAGTGGGGTCTTTATCCTGAGTGCCATAGAAGCCACTGTTGAGTTCACCAAGAATGTTTGTCTACCTGAGACTGTCTGAGGTCTGCCTTAATAAGAGATGCTGAGATGCTGAGAGAAAGCAGACCTCTGGAGGGAGAGGTTGTGAAGGACCTTCATATTGGCCTGGCAGAGCAGGAGTGCAGCTCCAGCAGGCTTCCCTTTGTTTGCTCAAGAAAGAAGCAAAAATTATTGATCCTCACCAAAGAAGGGTCTGGAATGTTAGCAATTTTGCTACCTCCTCTCTTTAAATTTGCAAGTGCTAGTCCTAGACAGAAAACCCACATATTCACTAGGAGGAGGACTCTGAACCTTAGGAATACCCAGTAAAGCTATTATAAACAAGTCAGGGGGTGGGGGGGCCTTTCTCCAAATACCTCATGGTTTAAGCCATCCCACCCATGTGTCACCTTCCGGTCCGAGTCCCAAACTGCAATTCGGTGTGAGGTTTTCACTGGTCTGCAGTGAGAGGAAATGAGAAAACTAATAGTAAACGTTATGAACACTTTCCTATATCCAAGTAAATTACCAACAATTGAGTCTTGGGAAAGAGTATTTTTTATAATGAGGTCATGTCCTTCCAACTTTTTTCTTTTCTTGGAAGGCTGGATAATTGAATGCCCCCTCCTCTCCCCCCTACCTTCTGCCCCCTCCCCACTCCAGATTTCTAGGTTTATTAACTTTTTGGCTTTCAAGATGTTCTGGCTTATAGTTGAGTAAGAGCATTAGATTCATGCACTAGACTAATGCAAAAAAAGATTTTGATATTCATATCTTGAGTTAAAGACATAACATTCTTATGGAAATAGTGCCAGACCCCTTCAAATAGTCTTGCTTTTTCTGCTTCATCATTCTTGATGTAATATATAAATGCCCTTTTTAATAAAGGCAATAGTAGACATTAATTCTCTTTCTAAAATGTTCTCAATTGACCACATCACAAGGTGACAATTCTGTGTTGACTTCTTTTTCTCATGTGATCTCTACTCCCAGTGTGGGGCTCAGAGTCACAACCCCTGGGATCAAAAGGGGCACATTCGACCGACTGAGCCAGCCAGGTGCCCTTATGTTGACTTTCTAACCTTCTCTCCACACCAATTTTGTTCTTGTCATTTTAAGTATTCCAAAATCTAAACGATTTTAGCAAAACTTTCAGTGGGAGTGTTACTGAGGAGAAGAGGAAGAACAGTATGATTTGGTGACTAAGAAGCCACCCAAGCAGGACAGAAACTAAGAAGGTTAAGATTCCGACCCTAATTGCTAAGACTGAATGCCCTACTTCACACTGAATGTTCCTTCAGTGGTTCAGGAGTAAACATTGTTTTTCTTTTTTTTTTTTTTTTAAGATTTTGTTTATTTTTTTGGCAGACAGAGATCACAAGTAGGCAGAGAACCAGGCAGAGAGAGAGAGGAAGAGAAGCAGGCTCCCCCCTGAGCAGAGAGCCAGATGCGGGGCTCAATCCCAGGACCCGGGGATCATGACCTGAGCCAAAGG